AGTTCAGACGTGTGCTCTTCCGATCAACGTGATGTGGAAGTTGTCCGATTACTCCAATTATTTGGAAACGGTTTGATGTTTGTGATACACATATATTATATATGTATATATATGTATATATCACACAGAATAAATACAATACACATATAACATTATATGATCCAGGCTCTACTAATTATATTATTATATGCTATTAATATATATATAATAATGTGTATCACAAAGAACAAAACTGTTTCCAAATACTTGGAGTAATCGGACAACTTCCATATCACGTTGAAAAAACCAGTTCTCGTCCGATCACTGAAGTCAAGCAACGTTGAGCACGGTTAGTACTTGGATGGGTGACCGCTTGGGAACACCGTGTGATGTTGTCCATTAATTTTTTTTGCTTCCCCGGAGGGAAATCCTATAAAGAAAAAAACTGCATTGACAAGATTAAAATTGATTTTTGATTGTAATATGTGTATACATCATATATATATTTCTATCTTTCAGCTGAATAAAATTTTACAATTATCAATTAAGTTTGCTATGTCTAAAGAAAATCAGAAATTTATATGACTAATTGTCGGTAACATTGCAACAATAAACATGCTATAAAAAGAGTACTGATTTCTCCAGATATACTCCTGCCAGAAAGAAATCTGAAAGTGAACGTGTCTGCATTTTAAAGGAAATGCGTTTATTGGCGCTTTTCTATATGCATAAAACTTACGCATTGAGCTATGTAGCCACGGATAACTGTCCGACGAGTAATACATCTACGATTTCCGATTTCCTTTCGCGTTACCATCGGTGATCATAACACTATATACTTCAGTCGTGTATATATGTGTATGGGAACATAAGAAATGACAGTCCTTATCAGGAGCACTATTTGGCGCGAAATCATATAAGGATATATGTGTATGTACAGTAGGGACAAGCAGTGTCGGCATCTTGATTTTTTTGTAAACTTTCAGGCTCCGCTGTTTATATTTTCAGTGGTCAAATAATATTATAGCATTAGAAATCACTGCTTATTGTAAATTTTTTTTAATTTTTACAAATTATAATAAAATGATTATAGATATAGGTAAACAGGATACAGGTAAAAGAGAGGTAAATAAATTATATTTTATAATTATATAGACCAACAATTATAGTAAAATATATATAATATATACACAATATATACAATATATGTACAATTATAGTAAAATAAATATTATTATTATATTATATTATTTAAAATTTAGAATAAAATATTTCATTTTAGAACAATAATTATATAAGTCGTAGAAAAAAATTAAAAACGAAAATAATTGTTTTAAGAAACAAATATTCAACATATTATCTATAATTATAGATTTATCTGTAAATAATAAAATATTTGTTTCTGTTTCTTTAAAAAAGTCTTCCTGTATTTTATAAGTTAAATAAGCGACATTTATTAATTTAAAGAATTTGATGTACATTGTCTGTTTGTGTTTCTTGGTCCATTTTAGTTTTCGTTTTATCGACTAGAATGAATGTACTATTTAAATCTAAAAATTAATATATAAATACATCAGAAAAATATTTCTTATCATGCTTATATAACAAAGTAAAATAATTTCAGAAATAGTTTCATACTGCCTTTGTCTTCTTCAGAGAGTAGAACCTCAATGAATTTTGTAGTGTCTTGTTTTATAATGTCTATGTCTTCTTCGGTCCAAACCAAGGGTGGGAATACAGTTGGAATTGCGTCTGGCTTTAGTCTATTTTTGTAATAATTTCGAAAATGTTTTTCCTCAAAATGAGCAGCACATACGCGATAAGAGGCATATAATTTGTCAATCTTCGCTATTAAATCATACCGCATGGCTGCTCTCGCCCAAATTACAGCTCTGAAATACATAGACAATTATGTTTATACTTCAAACTTCAAACCGTTTTACTTAATACAATATATGCACTTAAAAAACTACAATACAATTACAATATTCTAATTCATTAGAATTTATATTCACTATATGTACTGCAATAATATAAATAAGAACATAGGTCATTTTTTATTTGTATATTTGTTCTTATCTTTCTAAGATTATTAAATAAGTAATGGAAGTAATATTACATACCTTTGTTTATCTCTTGGAAAGCGAAAAAATGCTATACCACTAGCTGTATCGCTCTCACAGTTGTCGACAACACACCATTGACGTATATATTTTGGTTTTTTACTCATTTTTTAAAGTAAAGCTTTTCGACCTCTGCTTGAGATTATATGACTAGTATGTGACGGTACAGCTATAGTGGCACATAGAAAAACGTAAACAGTAAGACGTAATTGAGCAGTAAGCGAAACAGCTAATTACAGTCGAGAACATAGGACAATAAATAACGTAACCAGTAGCAAATAAAAAATATTGTTTTGCTTACTGCTTACGTTTTTCTGTGTGCCACTAGCTTAACTTTTACTGAGTTTGGTTATGTCTCTCTACTGCTGTAATCACAACAAGGGAGCCACTATGGATCTATAGATTGAATGGATTCTCTACTTTGATCGGAACGGAAATGGTTTCGACCAAAACCATGGCCGATTATTGATCCGCGAGCAAATCTGCGCAGCCGAATATAAAACGAAGGATCGTCCCTACTGTGCTCCTGCGATCATGATTTATCCTTGCTCGACATTCGACGAACAACAAGGATAAAATGACTCTGTGAGCGGCGTGAGCGCTGTGTCAAAAGCGTGAAATACGCAGCGCAGCCTGCATATCCTTAAGTACACTCTACAACAGTCGTAAAAAATAAACCCATTGTAATCGATTATTTTTCCCCGTATTCGATTACGATTAGTCAATTTTTGTGGCTTATTGGCTATTGTAGATTTAGGTTTTAAGCCTAGAATAAACAAGCTGCGCAAGCATCATTCTGTCTTTTTTTTAATATTCAATGACAACAATGACAACAAAGGCAGTGTTCCAAAATTCAGTGCTGCAAAAATGATGCCTGTGTCGCTAAATGGAAGGCACCTTTAGTAAATAGAATAGTCTGTGGATGCGCCCTAATCTGTTAGGTTGGAATACTCTCCAATATAGGTGACAATCTGAGAGAAACTCTCATGCTGGATTAAGAATGTTTAATTAAGAATTTCGGAGACGTTTCAGGCAGTTTTCGAAGACAGCTTGTAAGTATGGCATGTCAAGATAAAAAAATGATAAATGCCGAATTTTTCACCGACATTGTTTTTACTTCTAACCTACAAACGATGTTTATAACTTTTTACAAATCATACATTTTTTTAAATTTATGATTGAATTCGATTTTTAAGAATAAATAATTAATAACAACTTGTAAATCTGTTGCAGATTTCAATCTGAGCTGAGAGTAGGATAAATAAAATGGGGAAGCACGAAGCAGGCACGCCAAAGTTCATTGCTAACAAAATCAAGGCGAAGGGATTGCAGAAGTTGAGATGGTACTGCCAGATGTGTCAGAAGCAGTGTCGGGACGAGAATGGATTCAAGTGTCACACGATGTCGGAGTCGCACCATCGGCAGCTGTTGCTGTTCGCTGAAAACGCGCATCGCTACATGGATCAATTCTCACGGGAATTTTCGCAGGGATACCTGAATCTACTGAAGAGGCAATTCGGCACCAGACGAGTACCGGCGAATCGAGTGTATCAGGAGTACATCGCCGACAGAGGACATATACACATGAACGCGACTCAGTGGCTCACTTTGACAGCGTTTGTAAAATGGCTCGGACGCAGTGGACAGTGCGTTGTCGACGAGACTGAAAAAGGTTTGTACATTATCGTAATTTATTATTGACAATTAAATATTTGTCTCTGTCGGTAAAATTGTAGATTTGACAGGCTATATGTGTTGCATTTTCAGGCTGGTTCATAACGTACATCGATAGGGATCCCGAGACACTTGCGGCACAGGAGAAAAAGGCGAAGAAAGAAAAGATGGACAAGGACGACGAGGAACGACTGATGGACTTTATTGACAAGCAAATAGAAAGGGCGAAACAGGAGACAAAGGAAGAGGAGGGCGAGACATCTAAGACACCATTGACGCGTCCCGAGAATGACACACCTTTGGTCCTTGATATAAAGCTAAAACCAAAACCGAAGTTGCTCCCTGTACCACAGATAAAGCAGGAGAGGGTAAAAAGTGAAGATGACCAGAGCAAATCGACTTCGAGCAAATCGCTCGGTGGAAAGGACGAGAAACTCAAAAGACCCAATGATGACACCGAGAGGGGATCTGTCAAGAAGTTAAAAAGTAACGATGATTCTCCTGCGGCTGAAGGCTGGCTCAGGGAAGGCATAATGGTCAAGGTGACCACAAAGAGTCTGGGTGACAAATATTACAAGGCCAAGGGCGTCGTTCAGTCAGTCGGAACAGACGGTTTTGTTGGTAAAGTAAAACTAAAGACGCCGGAAGAAGTTAACGGGCACGTTATACGACTGGATCAGGAATTTTTGGAGACGGTAATTCCCGCGATAGGTAAAGAAGTCCTGATTCTTTGGGGGAAGCACAAGGGCCTGAGAGCAACGGTGAAGAAACTGCATATAGAGCACTACAGCATAGACGTTGAACTCGAGAAAGACAAGAAGATTGTGAAGAAACTTCCGTATGAGCAAGTATCCAAGTGTATAGATTGAGAAGCGATCGTGTCGAAAAAAAAAAATACTAGGAAAAAGATACTGTATTTTAGCATTGTCGGTAATATCCTATATTACATTCGTCGCATTATCTCGAAGAGCACCTGCGTACAACTTTAACAACTGAATAAGAAAATGTCAAACTTGTATATAAAATATGCATACATAAAGTGATACAAATTTATATTACATAATTTACTGTAAAGTTTGAATCAATCTGGGAAACAATTTTTTGTGAAACGTATATATTTAAGCCAAGGCACAACTTTTTTTTATTGAATACTATATATTACGTTTCATTACGTATGCATATCAGTGTTTGTATGTAGAATACAATAGATGTGTGAAATTACAGTAATTAGAGATCTATCATCCACACAAATAAAAAAAATGTTCTAATTTAAACATCAAATTCTGAAATAATCGTTTTTTAAATTGGATATCGATCGCTTGTTAAATTAGGAAATAAATGTAAAAAATTAAACATAGTCTTATTTAAGAAATGAATGTACATATAAATGTATTATCTCTTTTTATAAGGATATATCAGAATTTTTAAATGTCTTGTGTTTCTTCTGACAACATATTCATTTTGTATATATGTATATCTTTTATATTACTATATTTAAGATATCTTAAATAAAACGAACTATATCGTTTATTTTATACGAACCATAAATTCTACAAGTATATTATTATATATTTCAATCCAATTACACATTGTATAAATTTTCTTTTTCAAGTGCTTTTACGTTGCACATATATGTAGTAAATTGATTTACTATAAGAATCTATATAAACATTTAAAGAAATTAAAATATTTGTTACAGTATGAATTCTATTTAAAAGGTAAAAGTACGACGAATTCTACTTTTGTACATATATATATTATTTTGTAAAGGACATATTTACACATTAATATTATCTCAATCTTATAAATGGACAAAATGAGCCCATCATTCTTGACACTACAAATGTCTGTGTATAATACAGAACGCAACAGTATATAAATAATACATAAATATGTAGTAGTTCTACTTGATTTTGCAAATCATTTGATCACGTATGGATTGTACTGGGAAACATTCTTTATCGAGTATTACAATACGGCCGTTGATCTTAAATAATATGTCCCCTATATATTTACGACTAAATACAGGCACAACGGTACCTTCGCCGAAAGTCTCTATCTGTTTCTTGCCCAATATTCTATTCACAAACACAGCCTTGTAGACTTTCTCCGCAGCATTGTAATAAATTCTGTACGGAATTGTTTTGCTGCCTACTATAAGTATGGCGGCTACAGCGAAACTACCAAGCAACGCTATTATCCTCCCTACAGCGCTTAAAGGCATTAATAATTTCTCATCAGATCCCCTTACTGTGTCTTGCACCGGTGGTCTCATGTAGATCAAATATCCCAAGCTAATCGTACTAACAGCGACACCTAACCATCCAGCATGATATGCTACAGTAATTGTTGTACTGATTGCTGACAGTTCCCTGTACACAAGCCGGTAACCGTCGCTTATATTGTCCATAAGTTTATATTTCTGCTCTGCCCAGGCATTCGTCTTATTAGTCATCTGTTGATTACTTTTCACAAGCGTGATTTTATTGAGAGGGCCAGAAATTATATTCTTGCGAAAGACAGGTCGACACAGAACAGTAGCCTTATTCAGGATATAAGCCATTTTCGTGACTTACGACAATCCTGCAACATCAAGTGTGAAAACGTATACGAATAATCATCAAAAGAGAAATAATTGCCTAGACTTATTATATAATTATTAGATTCAAGTAAATCAATTTACATCATTATTATTAGTTAGTAATTACTATTAGTGTTATTATTTCCTAGTTTTGCATATATTTGCAATTATCATATTTCTGTTAGAATGTAATTGTTACCGCATTAATTTCCTTCTCTTGAAGTTGCGATTAATATGTATATATATTCCATAACAAGCAAAGAACTTGTCTCTAATGATAAGGTGATGTTTAAGCTTAAATACGATTAAGCAGTAAATTGAATTACATTAAATTAAACATTACATCTCGATAATAACAAATAAACAAAAAACTTAGTGGATATGCAACGCGACGAAGAATGAAATTATATTTCATTCAGGTTCGATTATTAAATCTTAATATTTAAGTATTTAAAGTAGATTGAGGTCCTTACTCATTTGCTAGATATTATCGGCAACGCGACAAAATCCTAAATGCACTCTAAAGCAACAATAAACTTCGAAACCACGTGGAATATCACAGCATTCACAGCACGCTTCGCACGCTTGCTCGATACATATTAGGTTAGGTCACATGTACATACTTCCGGCTGCCAGCCGTAGTGCTCGTGGTGCTTTGCGTCTCGTTTTATGATTTACACGTTTCGTCTGTGCGCTCAGTTAGAATGTCTATGTTATTCAACGGCGACAACTCCGACTCCGATGGGGAATTGAAGATAAACACGGAATACGCCAATATTTACGATAACTTCCGTCAAAAGGAGGAATTACATAAACGTGAGTGAACCTAACCCCCCATATACGCCTTTAACAGACGCGAGATTTATTAGTAATCCCGAATTGAGTACCATGTCTAATGAAATTTTTCTATTTTTTTTTCAATTGTTGAACTTTTTGATCAACCTCTTGTAAACTGAGTCATATACTTACATATTAATGTAACAGTCGAAGAATTTGTTGATAAGTCAAGACACCTTTTCTTACCTCGGATCACCTTACGACGTAAGAATTTCTCTGTCCAAAAATCATGTTAAAGCGAAATGATTGATTAAATTGATATATACATACGAAAAAGAATCTTTCAAAATATTTAATTCAGTTGGAAAAAATTCGAGGGGTAAATCGCTGAGGGCATTGCGATGTACAGATTCGAGGCATTGTTAGGCATGTCTTGGGCACTATTACGTTTTATTTTTAAACAATTGACAATTGTTTTATGTCACAACACGTAATAAAGTGTGAATATTAAATAAATTACGCTAAATAATAAGATTGCTCTCACGATGTTATCCGTGGGGCATTATGGTCGGTCAGAAATTGGGCATTACCTCGGACATTACTAGACATATACATGTATACTTGATTTTGATTAGCGGTTTACCCCTCGAAAAAACTCAACATCTCATCTATTGTATGCAAGGATTAATGTTATTACATTAAATTATTTCACATGATTTTTTGGAATTTATATATGTGTGATTGTAATTTTTTCCTATTTATTTTGCAGTGAAGGCAAGATATGGAGAAAACGCTGCATTTTCGGAGGACGAAACTGATGAGAGCAGTTCATCAGAAGATGAAGACAGTGTATGTTGATTACTATAGTTTGCTTGATAAATTTATATTTGCTTTCACTGTGTGTGTTATCACAAATATTTTCTTAACTTTTATTAGATTTTGTATTTTATCTTTAGCTCTCAATAAAAATCTAGCTTTACATATAACAGCACTAATAAATGCATAATAATAATCAATTATTTTTTTCATATTCAGAATCCAGAATTTGATAAACAGTTTCTCATAACGTTGGCCTGTTTGAAATCTGGGGACCCGAGCACATATGACGAAAAAGTTAATTCCTTCAATGACAAACCTGGGACATCAGAAAATGCCGAAGTGAGAGAAACAAGAAAGAAGAAGTCAAGGAAAGAGAAGCCCCTCTCTTTGCGCGATTACGAACGTAAGATAATATTGGAAAGAGACGGACGGTTTAGTAGCAGCGAAGATGAAGACGATGAAAAGCAGACAGCTAAATCTAAAATGTCCACTTACGTGGAGGAGCAAAACGAATTAAGAGATAGTTTCAAACATGCTCTAAAAGATGAGGATGAAGATAACGATGAGGATAATTCCCTCTTGAAGATAAAACAAAAGACAGAGGATGAGAAACACAAAGTACTTTCAATTATTACATTTTTAATAATTTCGCACATATGTATTCATATATTATTGTGTGTAATATCATTGTTGTTTTATGTAGGAAGAAAAATCGTACAAGAAGTGGTTGATAGGTCGAGAAGTGGAGATAGATCCCGAGGAGAAGGAAATGCTCAAACCACTGCGTGACTTTTGGTCGGATCCTAATTTAGATCCGAATGAGAAATTCTTGAGGGATTATATTTTAAATAATAAGTATATGGATAAAGAATCTTACGACGCTGACTTGGAGTACAATCAAGTTATTCATGACAGCGATGAGAACTTGTCGGAAGATGAAAAGACTATTCGTAAGCAGGAGGAATTCGAACATAAATACAATTTTAGATTTGAAGAACCTGATCAAGAATTTATCAAGAGGTATACGAGAGATCTTGTTCAATGAATAAATGTTGATTACTACACGTATTATTTTTTTATTTAAAAATTTTATGTTTCAAGGTATCCACGAACGATGGAAAACTCAATGCGGAAAAAAGATACGCGCAGAGCGCAGAAGAGAGTGGAAGTTAAGGAAAGAAAAGAGCAGGAGAAACAGCAGAAGAGAGAGGAACTGAAGCAATTGAAGGCGTTGAAGAGAAAAGAGATAGAAGAAAAGATCGAAAAGTTGAAAGAAATCACAGGTAACGTATGATTCTTTAATTTTTATATGTATAAAATTTATGTCAAATTGTTCAATATTATACTAGGTATTATCTATATTAATATATCTATATTAATTACAGGAAATGACGATATGCGTTTTGATAATGTTGATTTTGATTCCGACTTCGATCCAAATGAACACGACAGAAGGATGAAAGAGCTTTTTAATGACGACTATTATACTGATGGTAAAGACGAGATGCAGAAGCCAGAATTCCCGGAGATCGATGAAGAATTGGATATTGAGCTCAAGTGGGACACATATGATCCAACTACAGATAAAATTGACATGGAAACTGCGCAATACGAAGAACCTCATTGTGAAGATCCAAATTTTAATGTACTTATTACGGTCTATCTATTATATATTTTGCTGCTGTATTTTGTATAGGAATTTCATTAGTCGTCTGATTACAGATGGACGCTGATTACGATAAGTCCCAAAATCTACAGTCCGAACTCATTGAAAATACGAAAAGGAGAAAACGGAGGAAGCGCTCTAAATTCGCGGAGCTTATAGCAAAGGAGAAACCGAAATTTGATCCAAAACAATTTCCTTCGTATGCAGATTATTTCGATCAATATTACTCATTGGATTACGAGGACATGATTGGAGACTTGCCGTGTAGATTTAAATATCGGAAAGTAGTGCCAAACGATTATGGATTAAGTGTTGAAGAAGTAAGTGTTAATTGTACTAAAATTTTATTATTAATATTAAGGTCACTCTCTAACCAAATCATTTGTAATAATATACTTGTTATAAATTTAATAAATTAAATTTAATAAATATATACATTCTTATGTTTCAAGATTTTAATGGCTGATGATAAGGAGTTGAATAAATGGTGCCCCTTAGGACAAGCTCTTAAACATAAACCAGAACACGTGGAAACAAATGAAATTAAAATATTTAAACAAAAATCGATGAACGAAGCATTTAAGCAAAAAGTTCTTAAGAGCTTATATAGGTAAGTATCACACAAGAATTGAACGTATATAATATATACTATAGATTATCTATATATAATAATCTTGTATATTTAGTGAACCCGAAGAGAAAAAAGAAGAAGGAAAAGGCGAGGAAACTGTTACCGAGGAAACTGAAACCAGTAATAAGAAACGTAGGCGAAGGAAGAAAGCTAAAGGCAGCAATCCTCTTAACGTGGAGTCTAATACTGATACTAAGGAAAAAATTGTACATACAATAGAGAATAACGTACAGAATAGTAACAACAAGGATGAGAGAAAGAAGGATGAAAAAAATAAAGAGGCGCAAGAGGAAAATATAGTAAATAAGAGCAAAAAGAAAAAACGAAAGAACAACTTACAAGCTGACGGCGACGTGTCGATTTCTAAGAAAATGAAGACAGATAACGCAGTGAAGGAAAGTTCTCAAATAAAAATGAACATTGATAACATTAAAGTAGAAAATAGTAATGAAAAGACGATAGCCAATGGGAAATCTGCAGGTCGGAAGAAAAACAAGAACAATAATTCTCACATGAATACTAAAAAACACAAACCAGATTATAATGATCCAATGATGTCTTTGAATGCAGAAAGATTGAAGACCTACGGAATAAATGCTAAGAAATTGAAAAATAAGTTGAAATATGGGAATAAGAAATTATAAATATGGATTTTCTGTATTTGTATGTATATAGTAAATATAAATGCATACCTTATATATAATGATAGATTCTAGCATATGTAAATATATTTTTTTATTGATATATGTATGTATATACACAGTATGTGCGATATGATCAGATATGATCATATCGCAGAGCTACAGCACAAAACTAAATAAATGCGTCGGTACATATACACGACAAGTTTAATGTAAAGGCATATACATATACGTACCACACGCAAGGATGGATAAGAGACAGTAGTCAGCGACTGCGCGCACCCTCGAGTAGGAGTGGTCTCGAGTTAGGGCGGATCCGCTTTCGGATGATAAACGACATTTGCGGATTATTAGGATCGCAGGCTGCTGTTTGTGTTTGCCTTTCCACAATTTCCATCTCTAATCCAGCCCGTATGCTTCGCTCGAAAATACCCCCCCATTGATCCGGCACGTTACGGATTTCACTTACCGAGCCCTTCGCGCGCATCTCTTCTCCTTTCGACCCGGTAAGATTTTTATCAATATAATTGCAAATGTAAAGAACTTTAATTAAAGCATAATTATTTTTACTTTTTGTTTCACCTTCTCAAATTAATTTTTAAACAATATGTACGATCAGGCGGTTCCGGATAACTAAATTAAGAATTAAAAAAAAATTATATATTAGATTATTTTATTTGCATTACAAATTTGTTATAACATTAATAAGAATTATTAATGTGATATTACTAAAATTATTCCATAGAAATATATATCTTCACGCCCAAGAAATTTGTTTAAACTTCTAACACATTTCGGCTTACATTTTTTTTTCGGTTTGTTAACTGATATGCAGATATATATTTCTCTTATATATTTTATGATGATTCTTTTGTGTAATGTTGAACAAGCAGAATTGGCTGCCGAACTATATATAAAAAAATGAGATCATATAATTTAAAACAAAAGATCCAATTACTTGCGGGAAAAGGGACGGCTGTAGAAAACAATATTGTTGATAATGTATCCGTGCAATGCCTCTTAAGAATTTTATTTAACGGGAGAGGACATTGGTTGGATCGGTCCGAAACGGTCGGCAAAACCCCTCTTTTTTTCCCCCGGGTGCAATAAATCAATCCCCTCGGCTCGACGAGAAGTACCAGTAGTAGCAGGTGGCTCCTGACGGCCACCGGCGTTCGCGCCCTTAATTCCCAATTAATGTTATCCTCGATGTAAACGTACGCCCTATATGTCCCCCTTGGCCTCCAAACCGTACGTTCGAACATGTTCCTCGCGGATTATGCGTCGACGGAACATCGTCTCGGTTGTATTAAAGTAACGCGTGATTTTATATAGTGAAATATTTTCTAGTAACATCGTGATTCAAAAATCGCTCGAATCCTTGCTCTTCCAGAAATGGGATTATTCAGCGATTTGTCAGTATACGTAGTCGGTAAAAAAAGATATAAATTGAAGAAGAAGCGCAAAGGAAGCGTGCAGCAGACTCATGTACTATATATATATATATTTCTTCGATCCGCGAGATCGAAGAAACAACAAATAACACAATAGCATATATGTATTATTTAAATAAAATATTATGTAAGGATAACATCCTTTTAATTAAGGTTGAAGGGATTTGTAGGAGAAAAGAAGAAGTCTTGCACGAGAAAGTTTCACGTTGCGACTCGCACGTATAATTGATCGGGGATAGGAGGCTGTGCCTGAGTATTAGAAGCTATTGAATTACGGCAGGACCGAATTTCACGGGCTAACACCTCCATCTGGATAGTAGCCGAGCCAGGATAAGTGCACTTAGGGTAGTGTAATTGACACAATATCCCCGTCGCCGTTCTAATTGGCGGAAAATCGTCGGGTAGAATCCGACCTCATCGGATCCTCGTTAACTGATCGAACAATTAAAACATCTTGCGGCGTCGGCCCCTTTCGCGTCTACAATCGCGAAGATGGGAACATAAATTTAGGGAATCATTAGGGACTATAAAATAAGCGTTTAGACACTACAAAAGAAGTGTAGCTTTGTAAAAAAACGTTTCTTTTATGTCGCGACTGTTCCGCTTAAGCGATTGAAACGATGATTGGGAATAAAAATCGACGTCACATTTATAGAAAAAAATATAGAATAACACTTTATTATGTATGTAAATAATACTTCAATTTGCTAAAACATTATTTCCGTGCATGAAAGTTTCAGTATTTAATAAGAAGAAAGAATTGACTTCTCTCTTTTCTGTCTTCGCATCATGCGAACGCACACAAATTATATGTATTCGAAAACGATCACGCGTCATAAAAATTTTAATTTCTTAAATCTGTACAGAACAATGAGATAATGCGCCTTTACGGAGCAATGGTTGTAAATATGTCGGGCATAGTCAAATTCGTTCCATTTATGGTAGAGTTTGTTGGTTTTCCCGTAGGTAAATCTCCGACTTGGATGAGAATCACGAGATATGTGGTGACTGAGCCAATGACCTGAGAATAAACAGGAAATTCAGTAATCTAATTTTTATAATATCTTCATCGTTTAACCGTTAACTATATTACATATTACATTACACTAGTGGATGTGGAGTCTATAAGGACTCTTTAGATATATAAAAAAAGAAATATAAATAATTGCTTCCACTTTTTTGCCATTTTTTTTGTGTTAAATTTTATTTATTCTATTTTATTTGCAAGCAAATAAATAAGTATAATTGATCAAAATTACAATACTAATGGTAGGAATCCTAAAGACTCCACACATCTAACAATAAGTTGAGAGTTAAGGGCTCTCATTGAAGCGCGAAATATTTATATTTTAATCTCACGTTGTGTTCTCGTTAACATCGCTGTACGAAACATTCTTTCACATATCTTTCAACGGTGATTAATTTTTAATTGCAGATGTAAAAGTTGCAAGACGAGGTCTGAGATTAAACATAAATGAAGCACGGAGTAACAAGAAGTAGAATAAATACTCGCGAACGCCGGTGTTATTAAGATGGAAATGAAAGTAGATCAAACTAACACACGTCACGTCAGCTCGCGAGCGAGATTTACGTAAGCTCTATTTTATACGATAAATCTCGATAAATTTATCACTTTACATCTTCAAAACGATTTTTTGCTCTACGCGAAATTCATACGATCAATTAACGCTTACCCCGTGAATGAACGTGTGATCTAGATTGAAGAATCCGCACGCCGTGAAGATTAACGGGTTCTGTATCAGCTGCAGAGTAAAGTCCCGTATCTGTAAAAGACATGTCGACATTGATTGCCGTTTCATCTGCTTCTCGCGTTATTTCACTAACATAAAACGTTGGAGTTTCGACTTGCCTCCGCGCGAAATTCTTTGGTGGTCGACGGCTCGTACAGCTCGCAGATTATATCACCCGTGTTCGCGGCCTGCGAAAGTTCACGCATTAATATTGCTGTACAATAATTCAATCTTTTTTTTTCAGTACTTAAAAAAGCAATAATATTTAAAAGAATTTGTGTTTTTTACAAATTCTAAAACAAACGAGAAAAAAAGAATAAAAAGGCGCGTGTAAAAAATTTTGCTTGCCTCAATGGTCGCCATTGCGCACATGTGATTTATGACGAGGACCTTCGACGAGTAGAACAGAATCCAACCTACGACCGGTATCATCTCCTGTCGGAATAACTCACTGCTAAGGTGCATCCAGAAAATCGAGTAAGCGTAGTACAGGAGACTGGTGATGAACACGAACGACACCGTCATGGAAAGGAGGATCTGTATGCCGTACGCTTCATTCATACTTCTGGTGGACTTGATTAATTCCAAGTGAACTTGCCTTCGCTCGGCATAAAGAAGAGGACATTGTCAGCCAATTCGAAAAAGTGAACATCGCAAGATTATTCCATTAACAATAAGGTATTTATACTAAAAAAACTAAAATAATTATGAATAAATTTTTTATATTTAAATTTCAAATTTTTAGAAAAATAACATCTAATTATATTTTTGAATCTCCTTTTCAATCAATTTTAATAAATAATCACATTTCATAGGAGATATTCATTACATTACTAGACGCGAAATAATCTTGATTTTATCTGTGTCGCGATCTGAGTATAGTAGCATGATAAATTAAATATTGCGATCGTTATAATTGTATTGTACCTAATACCATATATGCATTTGATACCGTTACTAATACAATTCATTCGATATCGTTTGAGAGCGCAAAGTTATATGTTGAGAGAGCACTTATTTACAAGCATATCAAACCTTTCAAATAAAAATATTGTATAAAAATTTTTCACAAATGTTTATAAAAATTATCTCTAAAACAATATAAAGTGCACTGAAATAATAAAATAATAATAAATTAATACAAATTAATACACGTGCATAGATAAGTATTTATCTCTCATAGGCAAAAGATATAATGCTATACGTCATCGGCTAGGTTTAATTAATTTGCGAAAAAATGTACCGTGTCACTGGTCGTGAATGTGTTAATTATCAGATTTTTGGAAAATGAAAGTGCTACAGATCAAGATAAAATTGAAATGTTATTCATGGATGACTTTGTCACGCAAATTCTGAATGACGTAATTTTAAATACATATATACGTGCGTAAAATACGTACGTGCGCATGCAAGATGGTCTCGATGTGCAAAGAAACAAAAATTCATTTACGCGCGTGTTGAAGTAAAAATCTCACTTGACGGCCCTCATCGTATCGGTGTTGTCCTTGGTCGTGCGATCCTGCTGTGTCGCGGACGCGACGTAGGTCTTGTTCCACTCGTCCTTCATTTTCAGCACCCTCTTGTGCTGCGGCGAATCGGGCGTGGTCGTTAACATGCGTTGCAGCAGGTTGTTTAGCTGCTCGAACCGAGTCTTTGCGAAGCTTCAAGAGTTCGTGGCAAAAGCGAGACAGGGAAGGGCGGCAACGATTATTTAATATCTAATTTTCAATAGTTATTAAAGTAATCGCGAAACGTAATAATATCGCGATAAAAATTTGTAAAAGTAGAAAAAAGATTATTTAAATTATTGCGAATTAAAACAGCTCTCATTAGTGGATGAGATTAATTACGTACTCGTTATATACTCGTTCATTACTCGTGCTTTACCTGACCCAGTGTAAGAACGACACGTCGCTCACGTAGAGTAAGCCGACGGGATAATTTACGGCGATTATGATGACGATCCTGATATGCATAGGCGTATCTTCCACGAACATCCCGTCGTAATTGACCACTATGAATATGATGAATATCACCACGACGAATATGAGGGAGTAAAGCTGATTCAGATACAATTTCCGATAGTTCTTCTGTAATCCCATTTGCTCCATGGACTTCTCGCACATCATGATGCGCATCATTGCCGCCTTCATGTACTGCGAAAATAACATTCGCGTTTCTCTCTCTGTCGGTTCCTGTTTTCGAGGACGAAAAGGTTTCCGAGTCGCGGCGAGACTAAGTTTGGTAGACCGAGGGTCTGCCTTCGGAGTTGAATATAAAGTGCTTACGTATGTAACATATGAATGATATGAAAATCAATCTTTTTTCTTAATGAGACTTTAGACCTCGAGAGTCTCGCGCGCTGGAATGAAAATCTCTATATGGCGATCCCCCAAAGAAAGTTACCTTTCTCCTCAACCAGCCGCAAGGGATGAGGCACAACGTCAGGCAGATGTTGGCGTAGAAAATCGCTTGGAACGTCATGTTGCCGAGCGAGTTCACCTTGTGCAGATAATAGTCCTCTAGGTACTCTATCGACAGCTTCATCAGGGCGCAATAGGTCACCAGGCAGATCAACGAGTACGCGATGTTCAGAAGCCTGCCCCGTTTGCTCGCCCAAATCCCCATGCCGACCATGATGTTCGCCACTAACAGCGGCATGATCATCTCCTGTATAGTTTTCGGTTGGAACATCTTCGCGGATGGCCGGGATACGCCCGATGCGACCTTGATAAAGGACGAACGACGAACGAAGGCGGCCTTCGCCGCGGACTGCACCACGTACGCGCACCTCGCGATTCAGAAATGAGACCGATGAGTTATCGTGGCTGCGTCACCTCGCGCGTGTTCTACACACGTGCGGACAGCGTAATACTAAATGTCACCCCCGTCAAAGGTGGGCGGCCGAAGGTGGTCGAACAGGTGGCGGCGGCGGTGAAGGGCTGAACGCGCGATCCAAGTAAACGATGTTCGCGATGCCTCGTTACGCCCGCGTGTCCCAAAGGATTCATTTGCCCGTCTCGTAATCGATATCGGCCCGCGAGCGTTTTGCGTAAATAGCATAAATAGTCGTTCACGCCTTTTTTTCATTCCCACAGCAAACGCGCCGCGGAATTTCGGAATTTCTGAAATTTCGCTCGCTTAATTTATCATCAAAATGTTGAATTACTGTCTCTGTGACCGGATTAAGGGAAAAATTGCGATAGAGATTTATCTTGAAGATTATTTTTAATCTTATTTGAAGAGAGCAACGATAATAATCAAATTTCTTTTTATTCATTTTATTAATTTTATTCTTATATATCAAGGGTTCTCAATAAGAAACGGGAATCGAAAGAGAAATTTAATCTCTTGATCAAAACTTTTCCTCGGTATTGATTCGTTTTTAATTATATCTGTTCATTGTACGCGGAAAAGTGTCATTATATGTATATCACGGAACGTCCAGTGCAAAGTTTTTAAAGATTATAACGAGCTTTCAATGACGTTAAATTGTGGGTTACCGAATAAAGTATGATGAAATTACAATTATTGATGGAACGGCCGACATTACGCGATAGATAAATTTAAATGATGACAAGGCAGACGGTGCGAAATAAGCGACAAATACATCGGGTGTTCGTGATCTCATAATGGATGAATGCCCAGGAGACTTCATCGGGAAGATCGATATCGGGCGAAGCTAAGAGCTATCTTGTTAACGACAGTATGAGGGTTAAAAATGCAAGTTGGTGTTATTGACATACTTGTAAAATAGAGGATCGATGTGCAGGAAAGATTTTTAATAAACGAAATTATTCTATAAATTATTGGTAATCCCTAGAATTCTTTAAATTTAATGTTGTTGCAAAAATTTTATTTGTTAGCGCATTATTTATGATAATTACAAGCAATTATCGGGCACATTGCGAGAAACTCCATATTCGCGCACACTCCGACGTATAGATCTCGATAACACACTATCGACGTCGTAGCAATAAAGGGAATGAGCGAATATGAAGATGGAACGAAGAATATTTAATAACTGACGCACACATTTCTTCCAAGTGTATATGCTTATACGACGGCGTAATGCTTTTATGTTGAACATAAATTTCTTCGTCACATACAGTGGTTGCAAATGTCAACTTTTCCAAGTTAAAACAATTAAATATCTAGAAATATATCGTGCAAGATGTCCCTTTATTATCTTTCTTCATTATACACACATTTATGACATTGTTAAATTAATATTCATATTCATATTCATATTAAACAATTTATCACACATTTATAACATTGTTAAATTAATATTTATATTAATATTAAACAATATACTAAATATTTATTTGTATTTGCAAAAATTTATAAAAATGTTTTCTGCAAAATTTACAGAGCTTGAATAGAACAGAATATGTGAGAGTTGGACTCATTTGATAAATTACGACGTGCTCAAAATTTCATTTCTGAAATTAAAAAAGAACACTAGCGTTTTTAAATATAGTTTTAAATATTTTAAACATAGTTTTTATTTTCTGACACTTTGTGACATTTGATATACAGTTTAATATACAGCATTTATTTTCATACAATTTAAAGATTTATAAAAGATAATCATTTAATAATATTAATATTAATAATATATCTACAATTCTTTAAAAATGTATATCTTGTATAGCATTATTCGCTTCCAGGGTGTTGCTTACTTGTACCATGATAACCAAGTTGATTGTTACAGTTTTCAAAATCTGTAAACAAAAAAAATATAAATGGTACATTTGCGATTTTTGAGAGAAAATTATAAAATAATTTCTAATTTTTTTTTATGTAAAAAGAACTTTGTTGAAATTTTTTATAGTTTTATATATATTCATATTCATTTTATTGTTTTTTTTTTTAATCGTTGATATAACAGAAACGTGTTATGTAACTGACAATTTGATACAAACCAAGCTTAAGAGACGATTATCTAGAGTAAGACCAAAAACGGAGAAAGTCACCGGACTTTGCAAGATTTGAATACCAAACTGCTGAATCTGAAACAATTTCGGGGGATAATTACTGTATTAACATAACAGCAATCGATTAGAATATTGCATAACAGCAAACAAACCTCCTCCTGCATATCAGTACTTGCGTCGCATCCATAAATCGCGTGAATAAGTTCGATGGTTCTGTTTCCCTACAAGTAAATGTTATCTTAATTAAAATCTAAAATTCGACAATAATGATTCAGACAAATTACCTCATCGGCCGCGATCTTGCAAATGCGACTCAACCCAATGGCTTTCAAAATGCTCACAAAACTCATTACCAACGTCATAGATGTTTGCTCTGCCAAAGTTGGGACTTTGTGATGTTGGAAGTATCGGACGTACAAATTAAAAAATGCTCCAATGAGAAACATAATAGTTACTCCTATCTCCCAAGCTAATTGTATTCCGAGGATATGGCATATTATTTTTGATATTTTACACAACTCCAGGTGTACCTGTCTTAAAAATACTTAAAGATAATAAGAAATATTTTTATTTAAAGAAAAATACTCTCTTTTGTTTCTCAAGTTTTTAAAAATTTGATTTAAAAAATTGAAGTAAATATTCCAAGCATTATTCAGGAAATTATAAATTTTGAATACCTTAATGGCAAAATTGAAGGATTTTGAATCGATTTTTATTTCGAAAAAATGACGATAAAACTGAATACAATCTATGCCTTAAATCTATTTTTTATAGAATTTACTTTATAATAGTGTACTGTATAACATGTTCCCTTTACTCACTTGATTATCTGCAACAGATATTTACGTTCCTGACATTTTGTCATCACGGGATTTTGAGATCGATTTCGGAGATCACTTTGAAATTGTTTTTCGATCGGGGATAGAGAGTGAGATTTAATTTGAGAAATGATCGGATCTTGCTTCTCTAACATAGAAACATTTTTTCGGGGTTGCAGCACCCGTCGATTCCATTGGAATATCGTTTTCGTGGAGAGAGTATGCCTCCGTTGTTCGACACGTATAATTTTGGCATAATCTGTCAATGCAAAACTACCCAATTTCATCTTGTTCGTTGATGAATTTATTAAACTTTCACACAAAAGTTGGTTGATCGATTTGAATTTCATTTGTAAACACCTAGAGTAGAGTTATAATTGCACCATTAGATATTATAATATGTATTTAAAAAACT